GTCTAATTTCCTTGTATTATTTATCTATGTTCTATTGTATCTCACTGACCTTCTTTAATATTTTTAAATTCTTTGTCAGGCATTTCATAGATTTCTTTTTCATTGGAATGTTGGTGAGAATTATTGTGTTCTTTTGGAGGGTGTTATGTTTCCTTGCTTTTTTATGTCTCTTGTGTTCTTTCATTGATATCTGTGCATCTTCTATAATAGTCACTGCCTCAAATTTTGTGGATTGGCTTTCATAGGGGAAATACTTTTTCCTATAGATATATCTGTTCTTTTGGGTCAGGCGCTTTGGTTATGATTCTGGATGGGTATAGTAGCATAGTTTCTGTATGATTTCTTGGGCTGTAATCAGTCATTTGTGTCTGAGAGTTTCCCAATGGCTTAGGCTGTGGTGGTTAGTGAAGGCTGTAGTAGAGTTTTGCTGGGGATGAGGACACCAGGTAGAGACCAGTCCTTGGATCACAGCAGGCTGAGTGCTGATCCTTAGGGCTCCAGGCAGCGTTCTGTGCACCAAACGTAGTGAGTCTGGACAGGTTGATTCTTAGGCCTCCAGGCAGTTTACTTGGGTGCCAGCAGTGGCAACAGCATGCTGGGTGAGCAGATGGGCCCTTGGGCTCCTGGGCAATGTGTGTTGGTGATGATAGGAGTGGCAGTGGGCTATCCCTCTGTCTCCCAAGCAGTATGCAGAATGTGTATGCAGTTGGTGGGTTGGGGCGGGGTATGCAGCCTGTGGCAAGTGGGGCAGACTAATCCCTAGCCCTCAGACAGCATGCTTGGGCGCCACTGGTTGTCGTAGCAGCAGAAAGCTGTGTAGGCTCATCCTTAGGCCCCCAGAAGGTGTGCATGAATGACAGGTGGGCGAGTCTGCTTTCAAGTTCCCCTTGTGTGTGTGCGTGCCAGCAGCAGCAGCTAAGGAGGGCATAATATGGCATATTTTTATTTTTTGTCTATAGGGAATAATTGTCATGTGACTTCAGAACTTCTTGTTTTTCCTTTTATATATTGAATAACTAGGTATTAAACAAACAGAAAAACAACAAAAAATAGAAACTGGATGATGCATGCCTTGTTGACTTTGTGCTCTCTCCCTTATCCTTTTATCCCTTTGGATATAGGCATCAGGGCAATAATATCGTTACAAGTTGGGTAATAGTTTATAAACTTGTTTTCAAGACTAGCAGCCCTAAGTGTCTTCAAACCCTCTATTTTGGGAAGTTAATTTAGTTGAATGGTTTTGTGGAAGCTAGTTGCGCATATGAAGAAATACTTTCATATCATGTATGCTTTATAAATAGCAACACAGACCACTATTTAAAATCCTAAAAATACATGTGATTCATAACTCAAAGTTGTTTTCTCTGAATCATTTGTAAACTTTTCCTTAGTCTGTGATAGATAGATCAGAATGATCTACCCTCTATTTTTGCTGTCAGACATTTCTTAGCCCTAATAAAAAATATTTGTGAGTCCTACACTATGAAGTTTTCACATTGACTTTATGGGAGGGATTGCCCACATACATGTGATTCGTAAGGTAAATGTTTCTTTTGTCTCCAGTAGAAATATAATGCAAGTCACAAATGTGAATCACATGTATAATTTTAAATTTTCTATTAGCCATATTAGAAAAGTAAAAAGAGGTAAAATTAATAATATATTTTTAACCTAATATGTTCAAAATATTATTTCAACATATAATCAGTATGAAAAATTATTAATGAGATTTTTTGGTATTAAATCTTGAAATCTAAAGGATATTTTATACTTATAGCATATGTCAATTTGAACTAGCCACATTTCATGTATTATATAGCCGCATGTGACAGGCAACTACTGTATTGGACAGTCCAGCCCTACTGCAAAAGTATCTTCATAATCTGGATCAGATTGTAGAGCTTTTTCTTAAAGCTTTCCATACTGCCATGTGTAATCCCTCTGTCAGTGGTCCTACCTCCCCAGCCCTCTTCATAGTCTTTCTCTGCCTCACTTCTGTCTTTATACCATCTTGTACTCTCTCTTTGATACTTCCTTCCTTTTATGCCACATATCCTCTCCTTCTTTCTGTCAAGTTCTCTTGCATATTTTGCTGAGATTCTGAGGAGAGAAAGTTCCATTAACAGTATGGTCTCCTACCTCCACACACAAAAAAATGTGTTACCGGGGAAATGTAAACTGATCCCAACAGTATCAGTAACCTGGGGAAATGAAGTTCTTCCTCCTCTTGGAAAAGATAGGAATCTCTGATGACAGTGGTTTTGAATGATATAGGAAAAACTGATCAGAAGTGTGTAACACGTAGCATTTTTTTCATGAAATGTAGAATAAGAATTAGCTATTTTGCTATTATTAACACTATTATAAATCAGTGTCAGAAGCCAACTGTTTAACAGCTACCTCGGAAATGGATATAAGTATACAAGTTTAGTTTTGCGGACTAGGTTAAAGCAAAGGAGCATAACCAAATTTTCTTGCCAGACTCTCCTGTCATTTCCTTCCTTTTTATAGCCTTTTATTTTCCTTTTTTTTTTTTTAAAGACAAGGTCTTGCTCTGTAACCCAGGCTAGACTGTAGTGGCATAATCTTGGCTCACTGCAGCCTTGACCTCCCAGAATCAAGCTATCCTCCCACCTCAGCACCTGCCCCCCCAACCCAAGTAGCTGGGATTACAGGTGTGTGCCCCCATGGCTAATGTTTTATATTTCTATAGAGACAGGGTTTTGCCATGTTGCCCAGGCTCCTGGACTTGAGCAATCCCAAAGTGCTGGGATTACGGGTCTGTGCCACTGCACCTGGCCTATAGCATTTCTTAGGATTTATATTTCTAAGATGTTTCATGATTTGTATCTTTCACAATGTATTTTTTAGCCCCAATTTATAAACATACAAGTATGCAGTTCCTTGTTTTGTTTGGGTTTTGCAAAATAACTCACAGTCAATGCTGAAAATGAAAAAAACAATTTTACAATAACCTCAAAAAGAATAAAATCTAATAGGTTTAATTTTATATATGAATACATTTAGCAAAAGAGGTATGAAACTTACACTCTGAAAACTATAAAACATTGTTGGAAGAAATTAAGAACTTAGAGAAATGGACAGACATCCCATGTTCACCTGCTGGAGAACTTAATATTGTTAAGATATTTCCCAATTTGATTTACATACTCAATGCAATCCCAGCTGCCTAGTTGGCAGAAAGTTTTTGCAGAAATTAACAAGCTGATCCTTAAATTCTGTGGAAATGCAAAGTGCCCTAAATAATCAAAAGTGATTTTGAAAAGAACAAAGTTGGAAGACTCAGGCTTCATAGTAAACTTCTTGATTTCAAAGAGTACTATAAAGCTACAGTAATCAAAACAGTGTGGCACTGGCATAAAGATTGACTTGCAAGTTATTGCAGACTCCTTTTGTCTCTGGCCTCTGAGTTATTCCAAACTGTTGAGACTAATCTACTCTAGACATTTAAGAATTTGTTAAAAGTTTAGCTGATATCTTCTTGCCCACTTGTGTGGCGGTCACTTCTTCCAGGAATCTGCCAAAGGCAAAACAGTTTATGTATTCTGTTACTCTTTGGGAGAGACTTGTCATTGTATGGATTTTAGGATAACCAGAAAAACTGGTTATCTTAACCAGTTTCTTACTCAGCTCTCTGGTAAACTCAAGAAAAGTTATGATTTTATAGATCATCTGGTCTTTTCTCTTGTTATGGTGGGAAGAACATTCTCTTCTGCTTTCTGTATCCTAAGCAGAGTGGAACTAATATGGCGTTTGGCATGTAACAGATTTAGCATTCAGTTAAAATTTGTTTAAAGTGGGTTAAATTTACTGAATAATTGTGTGTCAAGCAGCATGCTAAGCACTTACCATCTCATTTAGTCCATGTACCTATCAATGAGATATAGATGCTGTTATTATTCCCATTGTTTAGTGTAAAACTGAGGCTTAGTAGAGAAAAAGAATTGAAGGCACAGGAATAAATAATAATTTTTACTGATACTACCCAAGTCACCTTCCTCCGTCTCCCAATAAAACTCTTCAATCCAGTTTTCAACTTCTCCAAGGAGGGGAGATATATTCCTGGCATTCCAAGTTCTTATTTTCCTCATTTGATGGAAAAAGAGACACATTATTAAAACCAGAGAAAGCTTGGAGGGACCTGGTTAGACTTCTGATTAACAGAGAGAGATAAACAAATTAAGGATCTTGGTGGCCTTGGGTCATCAACAGTGCCTAGGTTTTATAACAGGTAAATGACAAAATGACTCTCATGGCTTTACTGCCACTTTCCACTTTCCCATTTTCCTTCTTTTGCTTCCAGTGTGAAGTTCAGTTTTTTTTATGGGATGGTAGAATTATAATTCATTACCTCCTTTATTAGTTCCTTCACTAGTTTGCTATGTGTGCATTCCTTAAGATAGGTCTCAAGCTAAGGACATTAAGTATAACTACGTATACCACTTATTTTGTCTTAACAAATGCCTTTATAAGCTATATCTTCACCCTTTAATACATCCAACAAAAAGTGAAGTAAAAAAGTTTTCTTGATTTTTTTTTAAATTGTCTTCATTTTTGTTGGCTTCCAGAAAAGAAACTATGATATGATCCTGGTCAGTAAGCTCAATTAAAACAAATATTACTAATTAATCTCTTCAGCTATTAACTGAGCGTCAGTTTCCAAGATGTGCCATTTATAACTCACCACAGTATTCAGTCTGTGTTTTCTCATATCCTGGTTAGAGATGCAAGTTGAGTTTCATGCATTGCCTGTCTGCTGGAATTTTAACACTTTTTCAAGTATTCCCCATGTATAGTATAAACTGGGTGATAAACACCTGATCGTTATTGTATCTATGAATAGAGTTAATACAGAGACCATGCCAAAATTTGAGGAATGGGAACATGTAGAGAAAAGAGGTGATTGTTTATATACAGGAATATATTTTGTAGTAGCCAGGTTTGATGTAACCAGCATTTACGTGCTTCTTCCTTTCTAGTTATCAGGGAATACGAAGAGCAGAGAAAGCATCCAGGAACCTAGATTTGATTACTACAACCATAAAGTTCCCGATATTGACCTCAGTGATTGTGAATTCCCACATGTCATTGAAATTTACGACTTTCCCCAAGAATTTCGTACTGAAGACCTTCTACGGATTTTCTGTAGTTATCAGTGAGTATGCAAATGATTGTGGATGTTAGGGAGGGTGAGATGAAGTCTTCAAAAAATATTTTCTGAGAAATCATTTCTTGTTTTTCATATCTCCTGTTTTTCATATTTTAGCATCAGGTTGGTTTATTCTTTTCCAGGTCCAGTAGAAATTAATTAAACTGCTGTTCTAAGTTCCTTAAAAATGTCAGGTAGCCTTGCTAGCCCCCATTTTAGCATTTAAGAAGACTGCCATCAGTCATGACTTCATGGTGCATTTAGTCCATTAATATTTATTGTAGTTATTGATATATTTGCATGAATTGTCAGATTGCCTGTTATCTTTATGTGTTTACTTGCCCTGTCTTTTTCTTTCTTGCCTTCTTTTGGGCTCATTGCAGCCTCGACCTCCTGGGCTCAAGCAGTCCTCCCAGCTTGGCCTCCCAAGTAGCTGGGACCACAGGTGTGTGCCACCATGCCCGGCTAATTTTTGTGGGTTTTTTTTGTAAAGACAGGTTTTCACCATGTTGTCCAGGTTGGTCTCAAACTCCTGCACTTAAGCCATCAGCCTACTTCAGCCTCCCAAAGTGATGGGATTACAAGTATGAGTTACCACACCTGAACTGAACTAAGTTTTTACAAACACAATAACTCTTCTTTTTTATGCTCCTATTGGTTTAATTTTATTTAATTCCATGGTGAAAATATCAACTCAAACTGATATAAGTGGGTTTGAGAACACTTGCACTAACCCTTGGTTTGTATGTAGCTGATACTTACATAGGAGAAGTTAAAAGAGAAGTATACCTCTATATATTTAGCTTATGAGAAAAAATGAGCTTTAGGAATAAAGAGATGATGATCTGGAAAGAAAGTTAAGAAGATTTTCAGGGTCTGGAAGAAAGTATCAAGAAGGATTATACTTAAATGTTTCAGTCCTGATGTTTTAAATGAGCCAGGCCTATAGTGTCATATAACAAATTTAAATTTAAAATTCATCTTGAATGTGTAACATTGTATATAAGTTCTAGATTATCAAAAGTTAAGAGCTACAGTATAGCCCTTAACTTTTTCTTAAAGGATAAGTAAATATTTTAGACAACTCTGCCATTACCATACATAAATGAGCATGGCTGTAAACTAAAACTTAATTTATAAAAACAAGCTTTCTGTTTTTGTATGAAGTTCTTGAACAGGCAAAACTAGCAGCTATGTACTTGTTGTTTAATCAGTTAAGCAGGGAGAGCATCAGTTCTATAACTGACAAAAAGAAAGGGTGAGTGAATCCTGGAGGATAATTAATCCCTGCCATGAACTTTAAATGTATAATGTCTAGGTCAGTCTTATTAGAATTAGGTTAAGATCCAGTATCAGAACCTGTTCAACATACATTTCATAATAGATTTTTTAAAAGCAGTCAGTGGGATCAAATCCCATTAGAACTACCTTAGACTGTCATTATTAATAATGATGATTCTTAAAACCAGAGATGATTTATTGATGTCTAGAATTTCCTGAAGATTAGTTAACTCTTACAAACTATTTACTTCCCTTTGCTTTGTTTCTTGATAATGTCACCTGTAAGATCATTTTCTCTCAAATTCAAAAACATTCCCCAAAGCGAAGAATTTTAAAGGATTATGAATTTTTGAAGTCTAAAAGGCCCTCTAGAACCCACCTGTGATTTATAAAAATGGAAAAGGAAAAAAAAAGGTCATGGTACAAAAGCCTATAATAACGCCTGTGAGTCAAATTCCAGAGTCAACTTCATGTTTTGATCACCATCTTCATCAATATTAATATTGATAGACATCGCTATTAATAATAAAAATAATTAATACCATTAATTTATTAGATGCCTATGAAGTGCCCAATACCATCTTCTTTGGCTTGTCATGGATGATCTCATTTCCATTTTCACAACAACTCTGTGGGGAACATACTTTGCTCATTTCTACAGATAAGCCGACCTAGCTTCAAGAGAGATTAAACTTGCCCAAGGTCTCAAGGTGGCAGAACCTTGAGTCCATGAGCATTTTTAAGCTCTTAGCTGAAAAAGATAACTGTTATGTCATCATCCTGACATTCCTTGTGCTCACTCTGTAGCTCTTCTCACACACACACAGAAAGTGTTTTTCTAGTACTTAAATGTTCATCCTTTTGATCCTTTCTAATCTGGTCTGGTATTTCTCTTTTCATGATTTCCTTTATCCTGAATTTTTCTGACTTTGCCACACACTTCTTTCCTATTTTGTCTTATTTTTTTAACCTCCCTTCTGCAACAAGTGAAGAATAGATCAGCCTCTCTGCTTATAGTTACCCCTTTTTCCCCATTACTTGACTTAAAAAAAAAAAATTGAATGACATCTTGCAGTATAATCTCTCTCTCCCCACCCCATTCTCTCATTCTCTTTCTGTCTCTGTCCTCAAGGACAGAGTTTACATTTGCGTTAAATCCAGGTGACCTTCCCTGCCTACCTACTCCTCTTATCTTCTACCCCTCCTCTGCTTCCCCTTTCCATTTCTTCTTATTCCCTGCCCATAAGAACATCTCTTGTAAATAGTGCATTAAATACTTTACATCCCCAAGGGACTTGTGAGGATTAATTAGTTGATGTCTATAAAATGGCTGAGAACGTAAAATACTCCTGGGTAGTTCTTTATGATGGTATTACTGCTTTTAAAATTCAATGGCTTCTTCTGTCCTCCAAGCTGTTTTTTGTGTCATTATCCCCATTCCACCTGTGCACTCGTTGAGTGTTTCTATCTTGTGAAATGCTTTATGAGATTCTATTTGTGAGATGTTTCATAAAAGTAAATTTCATTTTAGGAAATAAAATTGTTTTTTTGTGTTGCAGAAAGAAAGGATTTGATATTAAATGGGTGGATGATACACATGCCCTAGGAGTATTCTCCAGTCCAATTACAGGTATTCACCCAGTGGGTTTCAATCTTCCTTTCTTACTGTTCATTTTCTCATGCTACTTTTTCTGTTTCCCTTCTATTTGAGCAAGTTGGCATTATACTCAGCCAGTGTAGGTAATAGGGCAGATACTGATTTTTTTGAGGTATGGTACTTTGGTACCCATTCTCCCTTTTCACCTTAGTCCAGTGGTATTTGGAGAGAGAGAGTCAACTCCTTCCAAGGTCATTTGTACACATAACTGTCAGTCACGATAGTACGTAAACAGATTAAGGTAGAGATTTAAGAATCCAGCGAGGCTAAATCTTACAATATTGGTAGTTTTTTTTTTCCCCCCATCCCAGACAAGTGAATTTAAGTAGCCCTTTAGCTTATCTTGTGAGAAATTGTAATACATACTCTCTGAATAGATGATTGGGCCTTTTTGTATACCATTGGCCTCATGATAGATCTGATGTAGTGGCATTCAAAGAAAGTAGAGATGTTGAAATGTTGGTTTCTGTCTGAATCACCTAGAATATGGGTCTGCAAAATTATTCTATAAAGGCCCAAATAGTAAATATGGTATTTTAGGCTTTGTGGAGCATCAGGTCTTTGTCGCTACTGAACTCTACTGTTGGAGCAAGAAAGCAGCCATAGACAACATACAAACCAAATGGGCGTGGCTCTGCTTCAGTAAAATAGTAAAATTATTTTCTAAATAAATATAAAAATGTGTGGTTGGCTGGATTTGGTCACAGAACCAGTTTGCTGATACCTGATCTAAAATAGTTAACTGCCACATTGATCCTGTAGATCTCACTCTTTTGCTTGCTTTGAAAAAACAGCATAACATCTAGGAAATGCTAAGAACTATCCCTAGTTTCTCCTTTGCATCACTCTTCTTCATGTCTTCTGCTTCCTTATATTTATTCCTCTTTGCAGCTCGTGATGCATTGGGTATTAAACACACCATGGTAAAGATTCGTCCCTTGTCACAGGCCACAAGAGCAGCCAAGGCCAAAGCTAGAGCTTATGCTGGTGAGTCTATCTCTGGGTTTTTTCTTGTTGATGATGGTATTATTGTTCGTTCCAGCACTTTATAGCATCCAGACATTTAAAGACGTATCACTTTTATTTTTAGTGTTAAAAGAAGTATGTTTTTAGGAAAAAAAAATAAAAGAGAAATGACCATGTTGGAAATATGGCATCTGAGCAGCCACTTGGAGAGTATGAGAACTAACTACAGGCAATTCAGCAACCAGTTTCTGATGACACCCCTACCTAGTTTACCTCTGGGTTCAGCTGCCTGATAGAGTCACTATAAGAAATTGTGTTAATGCAGATAATGAAGCCAGTGTTGTTTGTGCTTGGCCATGTTAATTTCCTCTGATCGTCATCTATCAGGCTTATATTAATTACTGCTGATGCAGCCCTTGTTAGTCTATTTTGTCTGTTAATTACTGAGTTAAATCACTTGAAGCTGGAGTGCTCTCTCTTCCTTACTCCCTCCTACTCCCTCCCTTTTTTCCATTCAGAGTTCCTCCAGCCAGCAAAGGAGCGTCCTGAGACTTCAGCAGCCCTAGCCAGAAGGTTAGTCATCAGTGCCCTTGGGGTTCGAAGTAAGCAGAGCAAAACCGAACGAGAAGCAGAGCTCAAGAAACTGCAAGAAGCCAGAGGTGAGCTGAAAGGATGGTGTTCTTCTCTAGTTCCTTAGAGCTCACTGTAAGGCACGTATTTTAAAAAAAAAAAAAAAATGAACGAAGCCCATTCCATTTTGTCATTTCTGTTTCCTAGAAGCCTCCCAAATGTATAGAAATTTTCATGCCTTATGTTCAGAAGAACATATTTCAGGATTTGTCTGTCTGTTTCACACACCAGGACATCCTAATCCATGTTCCTCCTGTTGTTTTCCAAGTGATAGATTTGGTCTTCTCAGCTCATCCATGGCTTTTCCTACAGTTTTCCTCTGAGAAAAATTTTTCTGTGAAAACATAGTAATGTCCTAGGCAGAAAACATTTGCTTTGGTTTTACTGGGCCACGATTGCCATGATAATTGCCCTAACGTTATCAAATAGTTTAGATCTGAGGTAGAAGACAAATTTAGGAAAAGCCAGCAACTGACATCGATGATAGCAACTGTGGGAGATATTTCTGTCTTTTAAAGACAGTTTTGAGTGGCTCCATTAAAGTACATTTAGATTTACCTGTCTTCTGATTATTTTCTAGTATCCAAGAGTTCTCAGAAAAATACTTCCCCTGATCCACAAGCAGAGTTTTTCTTTCCATATAGTTTGGAGTTGAGGTTAAAATCTGTCTCTGTCCTCTATAGGCTGTTGAATTGTACGTAAAGGCCGGGACTCCTGCGTGGCACTTAAGTACTTTTTATCAACCTTCAGGCATTAGACAGTCTCATTGCCTTAGCCCACAATCTCTGCAATCTGCAAAGGCAATTTATTCTGAAAATTCCACTTACTGAAAAGTAACTTCATTTTTCCATTAAACGAATTGAAGTTTCAAACTCCTTGTTTATTGCTGGTCTAACAAGGCCATTAATACTTCCTGTCCTCTCTGCTTTGGTGATAGCAGGCAGCTTGCGGACTCTCAGCTGCACTGGCCAGATAACCAGTGACAGAGTGTGTCATGGCAGGTGCTAGAGTTTCAGAGTTGAACCCAACTAATTTTTGAAAACTTAATTATTATAATGAGGCAGTTTTGATGGCTTCCAATCACTGTTTACTCAAGGCCTCCTACAGACTATAGAAACATAACCAGATTCCTTGGGTTTTTATAGATGGCACTAACAGAACTAAAGATGAATGTGCAGTGTTCTTAACCATATGTTAATTGGTTATCTCTGAAGAAGTGATTTCAGTGAGATAACAGTGGTATCTGTAAAAGGGAATATGACTCCCTTTGCCATGTTATTGTGCCCCTCTGTGGGTGTTTATCAAATGTATCTCTACAGATCCTGCAGCAGTTGTTTTGCATGGATATCAGCTTGAGTATTCCCTTCTCTTTCTCTGGGTGCATCAGCATGCAGCTCCACTTGAACTATTTGTTTTAAATGTCTGGCTATTCAGTGATGCAATTAGAAATGAGACTGTTGGCTAAGTGGGACCCTATTGCTTTTCTAAAGAGGGCCTTTATTTGTGAATAGAGACCCACTGTGATAAGTTCCTCCTACCTGTTGATGCTGAGGCTGTATGGATTATAGAGGACTCTTTCTTTATTGTGCTCCAGAGTGCTACCATTCTTTGTATCTGGGGAAATGTATCTGGAAATTTTCCTGATGTATCTCTTTCTGGCATCTTTCTGTTTTGGGCAGATACTCATATACTTGCCTGCATGGAGCCCAGGCTTTAAATATTTTTTTTCTGTGGAAACTTAAAAGTACTGTTTTAGGTATTAGACTCTGGAATTGAACTTCCTGGGTCCACATCTTAGCTCTGCCATTTACTGGCTGTGTGACCTCTAGAGGGTAGGTAAGTAACTTACTTACTCTCAGGAGGCTTCTGTATTCTCATCCTTAAATGGAACTTAAGCGAGATAATCCATGAAAGATACTTAGTCATCTTCAAAAAGCCTTAGGTACTCTCTTGCTCCTGTTTCCATAGGCCTATAATGAGTTATATGGTAGGTGTTAGCTGCTGTTGTTTTTATTAGTAACAATAGCAATGTCATTATATGATGAATCCAGCACAGATTTCAGTGCATATTTTTGTCATTACTCTTATTTTAAAATTCCTTATTAGCTCCATTTGACATTCACTGAGCACCTGCCCTGTGCGGAGCTTTGTGTTCCCTGTTCAGGAAAATTAGAAAGATGGCAAGATTTTGTACCTCTTCTTAAGCTGTACAACCTAGTCAAGATGTCTGCATTGAGTAGGGAAGAAAATACGTACCTTTTTTAGGTATTTTAAGCAGTTGTTTTTCCTCTCACTTCAGTTCTGAAGCTTTTAAGATTAAAAACCATAAAATAGTTTTTGTTCATTAAAAGCACAGGAAGGAAACTCTATCATAACTTACAGGTTTTGATGATATTGCGTTATGATAGCTCTGGGATACCATCTTGAGTTTAGAGCTGACCCAGAGAAGTTACGTAGCTGGACTAAGGTCACCCAGCTGGTAAACTGAAAGAGAAGTCATCTGAATCTAGGTATCTCTGATTAAAGCCCATGCTGCTTCTGTAATACTGTAATTCCTCTTGAAGGACTTTTGGGATTATTGACATTTTTCCTGGAAAAAAATACTTACATAATACAATTGCTAAAGTCTTCAGGAATAAAGTATGACAAACTTCTTTTGTTATCTGTACCAATGATTAACAGCTTTTCACTCTCAGAAAAATCTTCCTTAGGTCTAACTTAAATCTGCATGATAGTTTAAACCAGTGTCCTCTTGTTTTTTCCTTAGTAGAAACAGAGAATATCTGTGTACCATTCTGTTCTAACAACTTTAACTATAAAGATTGTTTGGAAATGAGGAAATCTGGGTTCTAATAGGGCTTTTGCCGTTAATTAGCTGTGTGGCCATGGCCAAGTCAGTTATACCTCTCTGTGCCCCCCAGCTTCCAGCAAAGTGGAATTACTCCTCAGCTTACCTAATCATGGGAAATTTTTTGAGCACAGCATTAGTTAATATATGTAAAAATGTTTGGAAAGTGCTTTTACAAATTTAGGATACAATTATTGACATGACTGTTAAGAATTTAATGTTCATTATAATATGAACTTGTAATTGCAAATATGTATTATATACTGCCAGGCTCCATCCATTACACATGGCAGACATTGCTAAATTAGTCATGACATTCTTTCTTGGTGAGTTTTGACATGACCATTGCCAAATGATCAGAATTAGCACGGGGATTGGAATCTACATATTATCCTGTTATAATATAGTATGATAATCTCCCACCCTTTCTTTCACCTGCTTGAAGAGTTCTACTGTCTGGCAACAGTGCCTGGTACATGAAAAGATACTCAGTACATGTTCATTGACCAAATACGTGGATGACATTGGTTACTCTTAATTTTTCTTTGTAAATCTTGACTCTACTCTGAATGCTTTTAAGTCCTTCATATTTTTTTATAAAACCCAGAATGTGAAACCTTCCTAATTAATGAATGTTGAATTCATGATTTTGAGTTTTAAGTACTTTTCTGCTATATTTTTCCCTCTGCTTTGATCTTTTATTTATTTATTTATTTTTGAGACAGGGTCTCACTTTGTCACCCAGGCTGGAGTGCAGTGGCATGAGCACACCTCACTGCAGTCTCAACCTCCCAGGCTCAGGCAATCTTTCCACCTCAGCCTCCTGAGTAGCTGGGATTGCAGGCATGTGCCACTGTGCCGGCTAATTTATTCTTTTTTGTAGAGATGGGATCTCTCTATGTTGCCTGGGCTAGTCTCAAACTCTTGGACTCAAGTGATTTTCCTGCCTCAGCCTCCCAAAGTGCTGGAATTACAGAAATGAGCCACTGTGCCCAGCCTAAAATCACATTTTAAAGACCAAACTCAGGGCGGGGCATGGTGGCTCATTCCTGTAATCCCAGCATTTTGGGATGCCGACACGGGTGGATCATCTGAGGTCAGGAGTTTGAGTCCAGCCTGGCCAACATGGTGGAACCCCATCTCTACTGAAAATACAAAGATTAGCTGGGTATGGTGGCATGCGCTTGTAGTCCCAGCTACTCAGGAGGCTGAGGCAGGAGAATTGCTTGAACCTGAGAGGTGGAGGTTGCAATGAGCCAAGATTGCGCCACTGCACTCCAGCCTGGGTGACAGAGCAAGACTCTGTCTTAAAAAAATAAAAAACGAAATAAAGACCAAACTCAGGAATGTATAAAAATTTTCCCATGTTCCACTCATCCAAGTACTTGGTTCCCACCTAAAACTGGACATGTAGATATCATTACCTGTCAGAATAAGCTACCTTCTTAAGTTTCAAAGCCTGCTACAATTTTATTTTAATTTATTTTCATTTTATTCTTGAAGGTAGGTGATTAGTTGACTGGTTCTGAAAGGCCATTTTGGGTCACAGGGCTGAAAGGCAGAGTAAGTAAACAATAATCTGCTCACCCCCCGTTCGATTAATTAAATCACCAAGAACTTCAGATCATCTCTGTAAGACAGTAATAAATTTAATCACAGTTGCTACCTTCTGAAAGCCCTTTTTAGGCTTTCCATTATTCTGTCTTAAAGGGCAGTGCAGCATTGCAGATTCATAATCTAGGTCTTAGGGTATTTGGTGTCTTTTCTCCCCTGATATCTCAAGTTCATTTCTAACCACATTTTCTTTCATTTTAATGTGATTTTTTTTCTGTGATACAGCATTTACTCACTTTTGTGGTGTTGGTTGCTATTTAATAAACCTATTACCTTTACCTAGTTGAGAGATGAAAACATTAACCTAGGACTTGCTAACTGACGAGGTTACCAGCTGTTGCTAAAATAAATAATACAGTGTTCCTTGTGTTGACACTTAATACATTGATAATTATTCTGCTCTCCAGAGTTAAATGCCCCCTTCTGGGATCCAGACTGCATTTTCCATATATTATGATTATATAAATATTCGGTAAACTTAAAATCTAAAACATAGCTAAAATTAAGAGGTTACTTAGATTACTTCTCCTTGATCTATTACATCTGTCACTCTATAAAAGAAGGCAATTAGATTAGTTTGACCAGACATGTTCTTCACAAAGCATGTTGTTTATTATTCTGTAGGTGACTGCAGTAGATTTTGTGATGATTTTTCGTAGGCCTAGAAGTAAATTTTGGAAGTCTTTAATTTACATCCTCTTTCTTCACTTTTTTTAAAAACGTGACACCAAACTGGCCCTTTTACAGTCTTCAGTGCTTTACATTCTCTTGAAAAGTAAAGTCTTGACTGCAAAGTCTTGTGATTGCAGTCAACTCATTTAATATAGTTGTTTCTGTTGATTTATTTATTATATTAGATAATGAAAGTTTTCTGGGCTAGCCTATGTGATTGTTTTAGGTTAATCATTTTGGGCTGAATTTTCTATTTTTTCTTAGTTCCTTGCCCTCATGTCTGCTGTCGGGCTTTCTCTTTACTTATTCTTTTAATTGTTGGAGGTAAGTTAGTAGGAACTTTCTTTCATGCAGCTTATCAGCTATTATCTGCTTCCCTTTCTCTTTAAGAAAGGGACATGTTTCTTTGTTTATCTGTTAATTTTTTTTCATATTTTTTTCCCTTGTAGATATTTTCAGATGTCAGGATAGTAGACAGTGTGCTGGTAAAGAGTTAAGGATCTGGGTTCCAGATTCAGTTCTTTCACTGGCTATGTAACCTTAGGCAAGTCACTTAAGCTTTCCAAGCTTCTGTTTCCTCATCTTTAAAATGAAGAAATTATTTCCAACCCTGACCTACGTTTCTCTATTCTATTCATGTTCTTGTATTTCTAAATTTACACCTCACGTTTTCACTATTTCTTTGTGCTTCTCAATTTGTCTTCCTACTCTTACTAGTTTTTTTTCATATGACTTAACATTAGAATCTATTTACTTCTTTAGAAAGTGCTTGGAAATATTTCAGGGCAGGCACAGTGGCTCACGCCTGTCATCCCAGCACTTTGGGAGGCCGAGGTGCGAAGGTCACCTGAGGTCAGGAGTTTAAGACCAGCCTGGCTAGCATGGCAAAACTCTATCTCTACTACAAGTACAAAAAAATTACCCAGGCATGGTGGCCACGTGCCTGTTACTCAAGAGCTACTTGGGAGGCTGAGGCATGGGAATCGCTTGAACTCGGGAGGTGGAGGTTGCGGTAAGCCAAGATCATACCACTGCACTCTAGCCTGAGTTTACAGAGAGAGACTCCCATCTCCAAAACAAAAAAGGTTCAGAATTGAACTTTCCAGATTTTAGAAAGGTAATATGGTATCTGTGTTTCATAACACCAAAATCAGACACATTAATATTTCTGCAGCAGAGTGTTTGACTGTTCACATTAAAGGGGATGTGTAAAGACTGTAAGTGGCTTCATATCCTTTCAGGCTAGATTTGCCTCTATCAATGAGTTTTGGCCCCAAGCTTTAAAGAAAGCAATAACTTTGTTTTCAGAATTGTTTTGATTTTAGAATTGTGTGTTGTAGGCCAGTCATATTTTTCTACTGCTCTTGAATGTCTTTTCATATTACTTTTATGATTTAAGTTTCACACCTTATTGAAAAATTGGAGTTCTAATAATTTACTGGTTTCTTCATTTTTCCTTGGAACGTAGAACTAGATTTTGATTGCTTTCATCCATTGCCTTTGGATCCCCTCTTAACTTCTCCATGTTTGTAAGGATCAAGACCATGCTGTCTTCCTAAGAAATGCTGGCATCTGTTCGACAAGCCACTTATCCTTTGTGCTGTCTCTTAGAGAACCCCAGCGCAGTTCAAGCCTGCCTCCGTTCAGGGCACTCTACCAGCCTTCAGTTTGCAATTTACAGACCACTGTTTTTTGCCTCTTGGAACTTTGCTGCTATATTCAGATAATGCCACAAGATGGTGCCCAAATAGCAGTGAATTTCTTTTTCTCACATTTCCAAGTGCCAGTCAGCTTCATAACCAACTTCTTTGCCCTTAAAGTACACTCAAATATAGTATAGGAATGTTATAAGGGATTTTACAGATTAGGGAAGATAGAATAGCAAGTGTTTATTCTAAAATTCATCTCGATTTCTGTAATCTTGGTTCATTGCTTGCTCAATCTTATACAGATGTTATAAATTTGGAACAATAACCCTTGGAAGGAAGCATTTAAGCTTACCATCTATGATGTAGGCTTATCACCATTTTATGGTGTCAAGATAAATGACTAGCCATGAAATTGGAACTGTTATTGTGTCACCTGAAGGAGTGCTTGTGTCACCACACTGCTGTATGGTCTGCATTTTCTCAGACTGTGGTGAACGTGTTAAATGGAGAACTAAGCTTCTATATTAAAAATTGAAGATGGATGCTCCAGATTTGTATATTTTTTGTTTTTAGAAATAGTTTTAGTTTTCCCTGTTGGAATTGTATATTCCAGAAGATTTCTGGCTCCTGGAAGTGCTTGAAAATATTGAAATTTGGTTTGCCTCTGAAATATTTTTTCAATAAAGTTGTAGAATTTTTTTCAATAAAGTTGATAGGAGTAAAGCCCAGGGGCTACCACTTCCATTTAAGCAACAAAATAGAAGAATGTCAATGACATATTCTTGATACCTATTGAAATATTTATAGTGATCAGTAAGCTGGGAATAATGGGCAATTGTGTTGAAGCACTAAACATAGTTGAAAAGTAGAATTTAAATATGTATTAGCAAGACTAGAGTCTGAATCCTACTGGATTCTGACTTATTCCATATAATTTTAATTTCTGTTAGCCACAGATGTTTTTTATTATATAGTTATAAATGTAATGACTTATAGTAGTTATCATTTTCACTTACAAAGCACTTGGGAAATGAAAGGAATTAACTCTTGGAATCAGCTAAGGGAGATCAGGATATCCATTTGTCTCATGACTAACGTTTGCCTTGTAATTTGGATTAAGGGAAAGTCACTGGTTATATGAAGTAGACAACCACGTTTAACACTGCTCTTATTTACAGAGAGAAAGCGGTTGGAAGCCAAGCAGCGGGAAGACATCTGGGAAGGCAGAGATCAATCTGCAGTTTGAACATCACTCATTGAAAGGGATAATTTCATGAATCAGAAAATGTTTCCATAGTCGTCAGATAAGAGGATCTTTCCAGAGCTCTGACTACATGCAGATGTGCATGTTAAAGAGATAAAGTGATCAAGACAAGGACTGAATGGGGATAGGAGGAAGACAGACTCCTGTCTTCACTCCTAAATACAGTACTTCGGAATCACCCTACTATGGTGGGCATAGCAGGGAGCCATCAGCTAGGAAGAAACATGGAAGATGTGACTTCTAAGAGTCCCCTGGACACGGCAAGTCATGTTAGCGTGGGTCACACATCCAAGATGTTGAAAGCAAATACAAAACAGAACAGAGGATTTAAACCTGCAAGGATGGGCGATTTAGGCCCTGCAAAGGCAGAGCATTCCTTAGTACCTCACAAGACAGAATAATACTGGAGGCAGAGTAGGGGGCGGGTAGAGAGCAGTTAGTACAAAGAGGCAGAACAGTGTCTGGTTTACTTGGCATACACAGAATCTACACTGCCAGTTCCAGAACTCCAAAGTTGGTGAACTATAGCAGATGTGCGTATTTAGACTCCAGAATTTATACTGAGCTCAGTGCCTGGGGCTACTGTAGCTGCATTGCAGCCAGGGGGCATGCCAGCTTCATTCCTCCGAGTAAGCCAGCCTTGGGAGCTGTGTGCCAGTCCCGGTGTAAGCAGCAGTACTGTGCTGTAAGAGGGAACATTAAAGCCCATTTTATGACGTGTACCACTCTGGCGTTTGTCGGTTTTTGTCCTTCCAACAAAGAAATAGGAGAGCAGTTTTCTTCTTATCTTCATGCCTATAATGCTGTGCATGGGTTAAATGGATCTGTTGTTTTTATTGAATTCCAGTGAGTAGAGAATTGATCATTTCTCTGCCTCAGTATACTACAAAAGTGATTATCCTGGGACTGGTATATGTTAGCTCCTCTCCCCTTCGTGTCCTCCTTGTGCACCCTCATTCCAACCTTTTTCTTGCCTTCTGCCATCTCTGCAAATCTGATATCCTGCAGAAGACATCTGGCACACCAGCATGTTCTTGTTATGATCTTCTCAACCTATGCCAGAGGTACCTGGCAAGCAGCACCAGACCATCCGTTACAATGACGGGCAGCCAGGATAAAATAAACACCCCTGGGCAGTGAGAGATTTCCTAAAGGATGTGGGCAAGTCAAAGCCATCAACTCAGGCTTTATCCATGTCATATCTGCATTCTCAGTGTTTTTGGAAAGTAGGTCTACACTGAAGAAATGGTAGCACGAGACCTGAGGATGCTGATGTGGCAAGAAATAGTGTCTCATTGTGCTTTCAACTAGGGCAGCAGACTCATTGTTTAATGATTTAGAGCCCATGACAATGATGGATTACTAGCATTACTTAGAACATGGTGGAGTAGGGCTCTATTCACATGTTTCTCAAATGACACTGGCCTTGGATCTTGGTCCTTACCCAACTATCCCTGCTGCTATTCAGATATTTTAGCCCTCTCCCAGCTCCTCAGCATTGTTTTCCTCATTCTTGGTCAGTTCTGCTACTGTCCTTTGTTCACGTTCAGTGACTCCATGGCAAATTTAGGGATTAAATAAATTGTTCTCTTGACCCTCTATCCACTAGTACTTTGTCCAGATGCCCCTCTCTTTGGCCTATAGCAACAAGACTTGTGCTCTCTGTCTTCATGGAACAGACTTATCTAAGATAGGTCTGTTTGAACAGTATGGCTCCATTTGGAAGGAAATGCAAGGGATGGCAGCCTGACTTCATACCGAATGGTAAACCTCTAAAGTTATACCTTTACTCTGTTTTGATTCTTCAAGGCCAAGAGTGACCTTGGGCAGTACAAAAGAGATGACTACTCCTGTCACTTGCCTATGAGGATGCTTCTTTCTGGCTACACTTTAGCTTTTAAAGGCATTGTTAATAGTAACATATAGCCCCATGTGTATTACCCAGTTTTCTTGTAGTCTTCATAATTTCAATCACTTACTCGGTTCTCATTCTAATGCCGTATGCTAGTAGCCTATCCTTTTTTTCAGCCAATAGTCAGCCACCTCTGACTTTCAGGTTTATCCTTATAACCAGACCCAGAGAAAGGTTTTTTTTTTTTTTTTTTTTTTTTTAATTTTAGCCTACACTTAAACTATGGAGTGTTGTTGCTTCTACCATTAGTAGAGAATGTGCCTTTTAATTATATTACTCAAGCATTGGGATTGATGTACACTAGCTGGAGGTAAGGGCTCCTGCTATGGCCCAGCACAGACTATATTGAGGTTTTTAAGAAGGGAATTAAATCCTTGGGCACATCCAAGCCATGTTTTCTCAAGCTGAGTTAGCTGGAGAGCACCCTGTAGCTGCCACTGGCACCTTTGTTAGATATTCAGGAAGACAGCTAATGCACTCTGCTGTGCATATGTGTTGAACATCTAAATCTCAGGATTACCTGGAATTTAGTAGAAAAGTACATTTCTCGTGAGTTCTGATATGCTCTTCATAGAATGAAAGTCTTTGTAGAATAAAGGTAAATTAGGCTTCTGAAGAGTAAGCTGACATTTTCAGCACCTTAGTTTCTCTGAGGCTAAAGTATGCTGAGGTGAAAGTCTTCTGACATTTTTTATTCTGCCTGGAATTTGGTGGTTGGTATTCTGTTAACATTCCTCATCTAGTTACAAGTCATGCCAACCACCAGTCTTCCCATGTCCTTCCCTTTCAGCTCAGAGTCGTAACAGCACAACCCTTGTATGGCCTTTTCCAAGAATTAGAACTGGCTGCACCTATCAAACGTGTGATGTGGGCAGCAAGACTGAGACCAGAGCCAGTGGCTGGCTGCCTGGTCTGCTTTTTTAGGCCCTCTTAGAAACTGGATCCAGCAAGCAGCTGTGGGGAACCTCCCTGCCTGAATCTAGTCATCAGTCACCACATGCTCCCCTGCTAGCTGCACATTCTTTCACAGACCATTAGCTGCATGTGTGAGCATAATGTTGTTACTGTTTGGGGGATGCTTGCTGGATCCAACAGGAAATCAGTTCTTCCCTTGTTTACTTAAACTGCCATGCCAAAATATAATGCTCCCTCTGCCTAATGAAGGAGATGAGAGAGTTGAGGAGAGGGAAGGTCGGGGAGAAGGAAGAAAGCATTTCTTTGTATTCACAGAGGGTTCCCCAGAACATGTCCCTTTTTATTCCCTAAGGAGGGGGTCGCTCTTGTGATGTGGTGGGGGTAGTGCTATTGTAAATCTGCTCCATCTGCTACCATTTATTTTGGCTTTGCAGCCTTGATGATAAAAGTTTACCATCCTCAGACTTTACCTCCTTGCCCCTGTCCTTCATCTCTTAACCTTTCTAACCTGTGTTTCAGCTCTGAGCCTGGGGAGGCTGACTGGGAAGCAGACTCATGTCTGATTGGAGAAATGCAGATGGGTAGTCATGAGAAGCATGTGTGCCCTGTGCATCCCAGGCCCTGGCTCCATGCGAGGGAAAAGGGGCTGTGGTTCTGGGGTGTATACATAATCATAGCTGGTCTGGTCTTTGTAGCAGTCCATAATGAGCAACATTTATTGGCATTAGGGTGTTAGTCCTGTAAGGATCATCACCTAAGTGTGTCTCAGTGGAGAAAAGATCAAGAATCACGTCAAGAAGAACATGGGGTTTTATTCTCCTTGAACGAGAACAAGTCGCAGCCCCATCAGACAGGAATGGTGGCCTTTCCCAGGTTCCGTCCTTCACTAAATTGACTATTCCCCCTTCTGATTTCTCCATGGTCTTCTGTCTCCGCGCTCTGCCAAATTTGTCTTCATACCTCTATAGGGATGAGTGGCTTGTTTGACTGATGTTCTTTCCATGGCAAAAATTTATTGAATGCAAAGTTCACTTTAGACACTTGGTTGAGACTGGAAGCTTAGACCAATCCTGAGATACATGTGATCCTGAGAGAGATCAGACTGCCTGCCAGGTAAATGTTGCATATTTTTTCCTTAGCAGAGGCCCTGGCAAGGGCTGGGGTGCATGTTACCTCAGCAGTCTTTCTGCTTGGCTTACTCTTGCTGCTCTGTAGGAATGCCCTATCTGGCCATTTCTGTGAAACTTGCCCCTTGTCAAGCACTCAGTAACTGGTGGTGTTGGCCCATCAGGCAATAAGGGGATGCCCAAGGTCTACGCTTCTAAGGATAGCAGAAGCACCCATGTGTGTGGTTGGATAAAGGTAAGGACACTAAAGAACAGACTCTTAGCAGAGTGTGAGAGGTGACTTCTAAATAACAACAGATGAAGAAAGGATTGAATCCACCAGCTTCTCTGCCAGTTGTGATTTTGATACAAGTTGTGTTGCTTTGAGCTCCTAGTAGACAGCTAACACCACCAGCTGTGTATTTTGGTCCTCTGTCCTATACTCCTCCAAGACATCTGCAAAGCACCACTTAGATGGGGCCATAGTCTGTCCCTAAGGAACTGAGAGCTCCAGGATCTCTGTGGTAAGATTCAGGGTTGCCTGGGTGTCCTCATAGAAGAGCTCAGCTGAGCAAAGCCTGGAGGTCATATTCCATAGGCCACAGGCCCTTAGAGGACAGGTCCAGAGCTATCCTGAGGGAGCAGTACTATCTGGATTGGTGATCTTGCTATCAAAGGCTTCCTGAGCAGGTTCTTTGTGCCCCTTGGCCCTGGCCCTTTTCCTCTGAGTTGGGACTCTGTGAAGGGCATGGCTCCAGTAAACTGAGGTATCTGGTGTATCGGCAGCAGGTAGGAGTGCGCAGTGATGGCTTCAGATGAGGTTGTTCCTGAGACGCTGTTCCTGCTCCAGGGAAAGTTCTGCATTGGCTGGGTATGAACTCCCTGTAGGCCAAAGGAAAGCAGGTAAATAGCCAACCTTACCACAGTCTCATCCCTTCCCTGACAACTTACATAGATCCACTCTGCCCAGCTCATCCTTTATCTCAAGTCAGTCATTTCATGGGCACAGTCATTCTATAGAAATAGGCCTGGGACAGATGCGTGGTTTCAGGGACGTCAAGAAGAACAGGCTATTGAATGGAAAGGGTTGTGCTGGTTATTCACCTGTGCCCTCTCCCCAGGTTCATTCTCTGCCCTTTTTTTTTTTTCTCTGTGCCGTGGGAAGCTGATCCCTGGTGAGCACATCACTCTGGCTCCTTTGTCCTCTGTTTTTGGTTGAGTTGGGTCAATGGAAAGCAACAGCAGAAGGTCAGAGGGTGGAAGGAGAGAGGCCAGATATTCCTTCCCCTAACTCTGGCCCTGTGGATTTGACAGTGGTGGTCTATGATTCTGCTCCAGCTAGGTTCACCCTCCTTCATGTCTCTGGCTTGCACCTGGCTGCAGAACAGCCCTTGCCGTGCTTCAAACCCAAAGCAGATAACGGCTTTCTACTTTCTTTATCCTTGATGTCTCAACACCCCTTGTTTCGTTTTAAATAGTCCTTTCATTAAATAACCTCAGACTCTCACCAAGTGTGCCTTCTGTTTTCTGCAGGGACCCTGTTGGGTCTCTGACTGGCAAGAGGACCAGCAGGACTGCATTGTTTCTTGCCCCTGTCACTGTCTGGGAACCCTTGCAGCCTGGTTCCAGCATTATGGAGGATCTGCTGTCTCCATGTTGCATTGCCTTGGATTCCAGACTCAATATCCCTGTTTCATTTAAATGGCAGCACAATCTACTCAGTCACACGAATTCAAAACCTTAGAATATTCTTCCTCTTCTCACTGTTGTTCATCTGTTGCCACAGTTA